ACACACACACACACACACACACACACACACACACACACACACACATATTATCACGTCACCTGTGTTCGCCTTTTGGCACGGGGCAATATTAAAAACAGTGCTGTAAACTCCTGAGCAGATACAGATACTGTTCTGAACAGCCTGATAAGACAAAGTCTAAAAATAGCGTTAGCCCCATAACTAAATCTGAGCATACAGAGGAAAAAAATGCATTTTCTTTGTTCTTTTCTTTTAGTCTTGCAGCAAAATGTCCTGCAAACGTGTGTGTCATTAGAGGTTACAGTTCTGTCTTGTACGTTTTTGGCGATGTGTCTTTTTGATGACTATTTTTAAAATTGTCATAACAAGACTCCAGCTTTGATACCCTATCATGGCTGACATTTGCATGTGCAGCAGTTGGCAAAAGAAGAGTTGTTCATTCAGTAAAACAATCCAACAGCCTTTATTAAAACCTGACCTGCAGCTACACACTAAAGACAAACACAACTGAGGTGTTTTAAAGATCGGGGATGAATCATCGTCATGACTTTATCAAAACGCCCCAACATGGCCTCCTTCCTACCAGCTAACTAGATAGATGAAATGAGCTGTCAGAATAGGATCATAGCCCTGACACACTTTTCCCCCCGCTCTCTCTGTGTATCATATGTTTTATGTCACTACTTGCGCAGCTTTTTCTTCCTACTAACACTTCCTGCCCCAGGGTGCATTTTAATGTATGTTTTTGAACTGAAGCGTGACCTGAGATAACCCCCTCTGCAGCAAATACCAGGTTAAAGTTTGTTTTCCCCTCACTTTGATCACAAAGGATTCAGCCTGTAGAAAGCTGCTTCTCACAATCACAGATTATTTATAAGGTTGCCGCTTATGTAACGCGAAATGCTTCCCGCATCACGTGCCTTTTTCAACAGTTAGTGGCACTTTTTTTTTCTTGGCAATAAGTCGTATGCCGAGAGCTTGCATTACCCGGGTCGAGCTAGAATTCGAAATGTTAAAACATCGACTTCATTAAAATGTAGCGATACCACCAGGAGCCGAGGAAGCCAGTCAATCAGCAGTCATGCGAGAGCCTCTGCTTTCATTAAGTGTCCTGGAGGAGAGAGAATCACATCAAGAAGGGGCATTATTGTTTCAAGAGCTTCCTCGCTAATCTACTGCACTTGAAAGCGTCCGATATCACTTCTACTGTACGCTGCCTCTCTCTCACTCTCTCTGTCAGTCAGCGATAATGTGGCTGGGAGTGAGGACGCGACTGTAAACACATTATCCACCGCAGTGAGGAGGGACGCTCGTCGAATCAGCAAGAGGAGGAAATGTCACCATTTGCATACAAGTTTTCTTTGTAAATATCATTAACTGCAGTTTTGATCATAGCAATCTCATTTACATGTGAGGCTCACGTTATTTGGTTTTCAAATACTAAAAAGGCTAAATAAAATAAAATCATTCCAATGCTTGACATCTACATGCCAATGCACTAAAGCGCCTCCTGCCTGGCTGTGCAGCAGCTTCAGAGGCAGTGATCTGGCTGCTACACCATGCATTAATAACTGTATAAATATCACACTGCTCTCTGTGCTGCCACTCAACATTAATGTCTTGTCACAGCTGTAAACTGGTGGTGTTTCTGTAGATTTGGGTTAGGTGCACAGGTGGGATCAGACAGCAACCCCCCCCCCCCCCCCGTGCTTTTGTTTTCCTGTTTGGTGATAGCTAACCTGTCTGGTATCCATAGCAACACTCTGGAGTCTGATGCGAGCAACTAATGACAGCCAGAAGAAGCTTTTAATGAGATTCTGACACCTTCGAATCTGTAATCCTGCTGACCCCGTCAGAGCTGAGCTTGTGATTGTGCAGGGGGAGTTGACTCGGGTTAACAATAAGTTCTAGCTTACACATTCCTGCACACGCACAAAAGAGTGTTTAGGTATATGCGGGTTCTCAGCCTCGTTAATGCTGCTACACATGCGCACAAACACACGTAAACACACCACATCCAATCCCTTTGCTCACCAGCTCTAATCACAGAGACAGGGTGTTTTTTTTTTCATTTATTGTGCCTCTCTCTGAGCTTGACCCAAATTCAGCGCCCCTCTCAGCAACCACTCGAATGTTTAGCTTGTCACAGAGCATTCATAATTAATTCCTTTTGCTTTAACATAAATAATTACATGAAGTCATTTTCACAACTGCTTAGCAACTCTCTATTTATAGCCGCAGTAATGATTTATTTAAATCCTCATCAGAGGAATCAGAAAATGCTCGCTTTTAAATTTTACATCTCATTGACAAACCAAATGCCAACACAACAAGCCGCGCGCCTTCCATCTCGACAGTACGCCGAGGAGGAGGGTGTTTCTCATCATTTTACCCACCTGGGATAGGCGCAGGTAATTTAGCTGGGTATGGCTTGGAACAATAAATTCACACAGTGATAAGGACTTGATTCAGTAAGCGACAATTAGGATGCTCTATGACCCGTTCGAGCACGTCTTTCATAATGAATCCAGGGGATTTACAGTCTCCTCCCAGCTACCTGTTGTTTTGGGTGGCCTACTTTTCTTAACCGTCTCGGAGTCATGAATACTTGTGGATGGCTTTGTGCTGCGAAGCTCTGTTCCATACCGGAGAATTTCTGTGTCGCTGGCCTTGCCTGGGTTTTGACTCAGCACAGGAGAGGCTGAAGCAGGGATTGTGACACATGCCACTCACTCTGTGTGTGATAGACGTCCAGAACAAGATGAGGAAATCACTTCTGATGTGTTCTTGGGG